GGGTGTTCCGCCCCCCCCCCCCCCAAACCAAGGACATGCTGGAAGATAAATTGACATGTGTGTGCAGTAGGGACATTAGATTGTAAGCTCCTTGAGGATAGGGACTGATACCTGGCGTTGGACAACTACATTTGCCATCTGTGCTTTCCTGTCCTGGTGACACCATCACCCTCCATCTCTTGTCCTGGTTTTTACAGGGACAGGAAGTGAGAGAGAATCTCCCCGCTGGGGTCACTGGCAGAACAAAATAGAATAATTACAATCCTAGAGAAAACAAAAGACGCCATCCAGAAAGCGATCGGATTCTCCGCGTTGATCAGGTCAGGTGACCGGAAATCTCATTCCGGGGTCACAGGGGTCTGCAGCAAGATTGTTTCTAAGAAGCAAAAGTCATTTATTATGGGAAGTGGGCGGTTTCAGGTGAGGAGTTCGGTGTGTGATTTGAGGATATGAAACTTCCTGTTAGAGAGTAAACGAAACAGAGAGGAGCGGGTGACACCATGGAGCGCACAGGAAGTGAAGGTGTACACATTCTGCTGCCAATACAGGGCCAGTTCTGACCTCCGCCTCCAGAATGTGGTGCAGGAACATGGATGGCAGCCTCTGCTTTGGGGTCATTTCCTGTGTCACCGTACTGACCCACTGCGGGCGTCATATACAGAGAGTTTTCAGCGTGCTGGACAACGGTTCTGGGAACACCAGTTCCTGAGCCACATGTATGTGCTGACCCAGTTTGCTCCCCTCAGCGTGTTCTGGGAACACCAGTTCCTGAGCCACATGTATGTGCTGACCCAGTTTGCTCCCCTCAGCGTGTTCTGGGAACACCAGTTCCTGAGCCACATGTATGTGCTGACCCAGTTTGCTCCCCTCAGCGTGTTCTGGGAACACCAGTTCCTGAGCCACATGTATGTGCTGACCCAGTTTGCTCCCCTCAGCGTGTTCTGGGAACACCAGTTCCTGAGCCATGTGAGTGAGTGATGACAATCATATGTGGAAGGTGTCGGGTCTGTTGTCATGGCGACGGCTCGCACATCTTACTGGCTTCACATGGGAGAAGATCTCTCTAGTTTTCCACGAGTCGGCTCCCATCGGGACTGTACGTGATCTGCTGCAATGTAACCGAACCCGCCGCTCCCACTGACTAAGCAAACTCCATGCAGACGTCTGTGACCGGCCCTCAGAGGGCAGCAGGAGCCAGTCACTGATATTAACCCCCTCAGCCCTCTCATGGAGCAGAGTGTACAGGTCTCTATGTCATTGATGTTCTGAAGAAGGGGGCGTGACCCCGGAAACGCGTCAACGACGTCACTACTCAGTGGCACACAGACAGATTGCAGTCTTGCAACTGCTGCTTCTCTGAAATCATCCATATATGCTGCTGTTTGACCTACCATTGTAAGTACCCCTGTACTTTTGTTTATGGTGTCTATTTTAAATTAAAAGGATTATCTGCACCAGGTTGGGCGCCCTTTTCTCTCTTTTGTCTTAGGTCTCTATGTCACCACTGACACAATATGGTGGGTAACAAAGTCATACGGAGATTGTTTTTTGGGGACAAACAAGAGACCCGTTTTTTTGCAATTGCCATTTACGTCACGATTACAGGTCTAGTCC